TTTTCAATTTCAGGAATCGGTAATTCAGGATTTTCAGTGGTTGGAATCCCAACTGGTGATTCGTTTAAAACTACTTCTTTTGCTGGTTCCCCTTCCGGTTCTGTATTTATAGGGGTGGATGGATCAGGTGGAATTGTTGGTTCAGTATTAACATTTTCAATGTCAGTAATAGGTAATGCAGAATTTTCATTAGAAGAAATTCCAACTGGTGATTCATCTGAAATTACTTTTGTTGCCGGTTCCTCTTGCGGTTCTGTATTGATAAGGGTTGTTGGTTCAGTGTTAATATTTTCAATTTCAGGTATCGGTAATTCAGGATTTTCAGTAGTAGGAATTATAACCGGTGATTCGTCTGAAATTACTTTTGTTGCCGGTTCCTCTTGCGGTTCTGTATTGATAAGGGTTGTTGGTTCAGTGTTAATATTTTCAATTTCAGGTATCGGTAATTCAGGATTTTCAGTAGTAGGATTTATAACCGGTAATTCGCTTAAAGCTACTTGTGTTACCGGTTCTTCTTCTGGTTCTGTATTGATAAGAGTTGTTGGATCACCTACGATTATTTCTTCACTGTTAATGTTTTCAGTTTCAGTAGTTGATTCTTCGCTCAAATTTTCTGGTGCTTTATATTGATCTGCCAAATTAGGGTCTTCAGAAATGGGAATTTGCACGGATGGTTCAATTGGAATTTTTGATGTAGGCGGTTCCTCTTTTGCTTCTACATTATTAAGGATTACAGGATCATCTGAAATTGTTGGCGCAATGTTCATGCTTTCATTTTCAGTAATTGGTTTTTCGCTGGATTCTTCTTGTATACTATGTTGGTTTTCTAAATTAGGTTCTTCAATAGGCATTTGTACAGGCGATTCAGTTGGAATCATTTCTGCAATCGGTTGTTCCTCTGGTCGACTAGGGGCTGTAACATCCTCTGTAATTATTGGTAGGGTGTTTTCAGCTCCATTGATTGATTCTTCGTTAAATGCTATTGTTGTACTATGTTGGTTTTGTAATGTAGGATCATCAATAGGAATTTCCAAAGGTGGTTTGTTTGAATCTAGGTTTGTAATCGGTTCGTTACTTCCGAGGCTTGTAGGATCGACTAAAGTTATTGGTTCAGTGTCGATGTTTCTGATTCCAAACGTTGGCTCTTCGTTAAATTCCTCTGTATTACTATATTGCTTCTCCAAACTAGGATTCTCAGAACGAGGAATTTTTTCTCGCTCTATGTTTTCTAACATTGATGGATCATCTAAAATTGTTGATGCAGTTCTATCTTGGTCATCAGGTGATTGCTCCTCAGGATCATCCATTATAATTCTCGTATGACCATTTTCAAATGGTCCTGCTACAGTCGTAGATTCTAATTCTTTATTCCCATTTACTTCGATGGGTAAATTAAATTCAGTCGGATACGTGTTCTCTACTGCAATTGTTGAATACGTGGCAGTTATAGGTATCGCGAAATCTTCAGTGTTTGTAAAACGTGACTTTTCCAAAGCACGTTCCGTCGTCGTTACAATATCATTACTATCACCTGATCGCGTGAGTTCAGATACGATTGGTTCGGTGTAAGAAGTAGTTGTCAACATAATTTCATCATCATTCTTAGACGTTGAATTAGTCGTAGTGTCTTCTTCATTCGTAAACATCGTTTCACAAGTTTCCGATCTTCTCTTTATCGGAAATACAGCTTCCTTTAATGCCATATTTTCTTTCTTTCCATCCCATGGATGATTTCTACATGAGGATAATGATTCTGGTTCACGACAAGTACTGGATGGTTTACACATTTCAGTTTCTGTGTCATAAGCCATATTTTTTGGACACGTGTAGAAATTTTTGTTCATTTTCTTACCATGCATCGAGCAGGTATAAAACAAACCACAGTTATCTGGAACCGGAAATGAGCCGGTTTTTAGGCAATCGAGATGTTGAACAGAATCAAAAATATCGGAATTTTGTCCGCTGGTAGCAGAAATATGCTTCTCACGAGGTACCAAGATACATTTTTGTAGATGGCTTTCGAAATGTCTGTTTTGGGGACACTGGGCCAAAATGGTTTTGTTCTGTCTGCAAATGTAGTAGTATCTTGGATTTGTGCAGTGTGGTTTTAATACATTCGATCCGCAAGATTTTTTGTTATTTATATAAAGCGCTTTTCCACCACCGATTACTCCCATACAATCGCCCTTGTCTACGTCGAAATATTGGTTGATCCTGCATGATGGATGCTTAGATTTTAAAGTCCTGGGATATCTGTGTGCTTCATAATTTGTGATATCTGTGGCATCAACGTCCTGTAGATAATTAGAAGTTCATTTATGAGATTGTATATCTAAAAAATAATTAAACTGACGATCTGCGATTTTACAATGACGGAAGTAATCTTTACATAGTTTGATTAAAAAGAGATGAATTTTATAATTATGAAATCTGTTTTCTTTAAATCGTGACGTCATTGGCATTTTTTAATAAAAAATTGTAAAAATTCTGAGAGAAAGCTGTTTAAATATTTAAGTTAAACGAAACAGTCTATATTTGTTAAATATTTAATTTGTTTAATAAAAATACCTATAATCAAAAGAATTATTATGTTAAATTTATTGTTGCAAAAGTATATAAAATTTATCTTATATTGCTTCGAAAAAATAAAAAAAGAAACAGCTTGTAAATTCTGCCCTATCTAATGTCAGAACACACAAAATTATAATAATAAAGTAATGGAAGACTTACATTTAATCTGCTCACTGGTTGACTAACTACGATTAGAGTCACAAATTGGAATAGTAAAACTAGAATAAAACTCTTCATATTCGATAGTCACATTAATCGAAGTGAAAGTTTTTTTACTTATTTGATCAGTGAGAATACTTTTTACACTCGATGCCGAAAGTTGTCTGTCCATCAAGGTAACGTGTTTCAGCACTTTTATATCAAAAACGTGCTGGATGATAATTAAGCTGCGATAATTGCAATTATCGGGAACGTCATTTTACACAATATACAAGTGCGTGATCAAGTTTACACGTTGTTCTTCACATAAGTTTGCTTAATTAACTGTGATTAAATTACGTCGGTAGGCACGTTTTGTAAATTAGGTAAGCATTAATCCTTCTGATATTCAAGATGATAACAATAACGACGAATATAAAAGAATGCAATGATCGTAAACTTAGAAGTATTTAATAGAGGAAGAAAGGAACACTTACAGATAAAAACAAATATTTATTACACGAACATACTGGCAATAGGTAATAAGTCAGTAACAAATCTGTATATACAATGTTTCGTTGAAATACATATCTACAAAACAATTATCTTCTGTTTGTTCATTAAAATAGCATACACAGTAATTTTTTCCCTGTATGCTGATATAGGACTCGATTCTAGGATTGTATATCGTTGTTTGTGATTAAAGCATGGGCTGTAGAACTTTTAGACTGATCAATCGTTATCTTCTGTATGAGAAAAAATCATTCAACATTCGTATTGTGGCACTCTGTATGTAAAGTTATTACTTGTCACAATATGAATTCCTGCACCATAATATGGTATCACATAATGCGAACCATCCGCAGGTCCCACGATTTGTGTCGCAATAAGTATTATATCAGCAAATTGGCCAAGAAAGAGGAATCCCAAAGTACTTAACTTAAGAAAGCCCAATGCTGGATACCCGAGATAAAATCTGTCTGCCCCGAACATTCCAAGAAATATAGAGAGTAACAATGATGTCTCAAATGAATATCCATTTCTGTAAATATAAATATAAAAAACAACTTTATTTATTGTATGTATATGTTTTTACATTAAATGTTAAATATGATCTTATATTATATTATCAGTATCATGTTTATAAACACATTTTCAATATTACAAATATTAGTAAATTCTATTTGAAACATTAATATAGTAAACAAATGATATTATATATACTTACGTCCATTTACAAGGAATATCTTTCTTGAATGTGTTATTTTTTGTTTCTGTACAAATGAGGCCATCCGCAGCCAGACATAACACTGAGAACAAAACAGTGAATATATAATTTAAACTTCCATGTACATAAAATTAGAAAAGGTAATAAATTTATCTATCTATGAACGAAGAAAACAAAGAAAAATTTTAAACGATTAACAACTACAGAATGCACGTTTTCAAACTTGGAGTACATCTGACATATAGGTTATGTCGAACTTTCCTTCTTTTTCAGAGCAATAAGAGGAAAAACGCAATAAAATTTATCTACCTTTGGCTTTATTTTCTTTCGTGCAACCTTTGGGTTGTTGCGTTTTCGGATCTATGAAATCATAATCGGGATGAGGACAGATATATTGTCCCATTCGTAGATTACTGCAGTCGATTTCATACGTGTAATCAACACCATTGCTCAGCGGTATCGAGAGAAGAAGCAAAAAGAGCCCGCTAAGGTATTGCATCAGGTGGAACATGCCGTTTCATTTTATAACAATTACTATAAATACCACACTCTGTCACTGTATCTACTGTCTCCCGCAAGTTCACAATATTCTGTACATGTTTGTATTTTGAACGCACTGTCATTAAAACGACTTCCCTCTGGCGCCAACTGCTTGGAATGTTCATGAACTATATTTTATGATATTTCTTCTGGCGCCAGATTTTCCGTTAACATCAAACGCATCGCGTTAAGTGAAACGTTTTACAGATATGATAGGCTAGAATTTTAACACTCGAGTCGCATTAATTAACTACTTCAGTTGAAGTATACAATTATTCATAGTAAATAGCGTGATACTTCTTGGAGAAGATGAAACTATTCTTTTTGTAAGTACTACTGGACGTTTTATTAAGATAAAATGGATAGCCATAAGAAGGGTTAGAATAGATATAATGCAATCGAATGCAAAATTCATTGTAATAATATATTATTTTGGAATTTTGCTTTTTAGTTATGTTGCGTGAGATCGTGTAAAGGGTTTATACAAGTCCGCCGTTTAGTCGCGTTGGTGGTAAGAAATAAACAGTGGAAGACCGCCGTGATAGTTGAGCGTTTTTTCTGTGCTAAAATGGCTTCTTCGTCGTTGAAAAGTACTCGGAAAACTTATAGCTTTGAGGAACGAGAAATTTTGATAACCTTGATAAATAAGTACGAAGATATCGAGGATAAGAGGTCCGATCCGATATCGATGTATAAACGAAAATCAGCATGGTCTCAACTGGCCAACGAATACAACTCGATGGTAGGTCCTCAAGCGATACGTTCGGCTGTACAGTTGAGACGCTGCTGGGAAAATATGAAAGCATGCAAACGGAATCGTGAAGAGAAGAAATTACGGTAAATACAATATTTTCGCGATATCATCTACCTTTCATTCATGTCAGCCTATAAATATGTAAAAACGCGGGAATATACGAATATGATTAGGTTGTTTCATTTATCGTTCTCATACTTCTCAGATTTTTTATTTTTCAGTTCAGAGTTTTTACGTAATATAACCTTTTCAGTATATAAGTTAGTTTCCTACTAGTTTATAAACTTTTATTTATTTCGATTTCTTATCAAATATTATTGGAGATATAACTAACGAAATTTGTATAAATTTATGGAATGACACACCTTTATATCGATTTTTTCAGTGGTATTTCGAGAAGTTTTTGTCACTTATCTAAGGATCACACACGGTCGAAAAGTTGGGAAAATAGGAATCCCATGGCAGAAGTTCCTATTCCTACCGGAACCGTAGGTTTGCCGCCAAATGTCATGTTTGAGCCAAAAGAGTCTGAACCGTTTACGCTGCAAACTGTCTGTACTATAAAGCCTTCAAAACAATTCTCGAAAGAGGAAAATAATTATAAAGATTCAGGTTATTCCTTCTTCCTTTTCATTTTATCTCCTTTTATCTTTTGTTATTGATTTCTTTTCTGTAAAAATCACTGCCTTGATTTTTGCATTCTACAATTCATCCGCCATTTATGAATAATGGAAAGGAAAAATATTCAAAGGCTTCATTTGTTCTTTACTTTACAATTTCTATATTTATATCTATGTGATCTATTGATTTATCTATTTATTAAAATATTTTACTTTACTATTTTATTTTTTTCCAAAGTGAAGAGACTCGAAATTTTCTGCTTTGCCGTCTTTCAAACGAAGATCTGCAAAACTTAATAATTTCATCTGCTAAAAACATGTCATTCAACATTCCCTTTATTACCTCAGATTCTGTCAAGAGTAAAATCGATTCGAATTCGTTATCGCACGGTTCAGTAACCGACTGTTTCGACAAATCCAAAAAGGATTTGGACTCACTCATGGTGGAAAAATTAGACAAAGACGAACTACCGGAGAAAAATCGAATAATTTTCAAATCGAACGCAACTCAAACGTTCATCTCTCCTTCGATTGTTCACGAGCAGCCTCGAAGAACGAAGAGATCCCTTCACAAAGAGGAAGAACTGCACGTATTGGCTTTATCGGAGGCACAGATGAAAGTTGATATCGCTGCCATGTTGAAAGAGGAGGCCAGAATTAAATTAGAAGAGGCTCACTATCGTAAAGAAGAGGCGAGGCTAAGGATGCTTCTTTTTACGTATAAGCTCGATAGGATAAAGGAAGATTGACTCGAGAGAATAAAATGAATATACTTACGTACGCTTCGTGCGATGGCTTTGTTCACTTCTTTTTTCACGGTGATCAAAAGGAAAGGGGGAGATACCGTTAGATTAAATATAAACGAACGATATTCGATATCTGTAATATCTGTTTATTAATAGCAATTTCTTTCTAACTACAATTGAAATCGTAATAAATAAATGCTGGTAATTTTAGTTACTTATGATTCGCTAATAATAGTTTTCAAACACGAACAAGGAGTCTTCTCAATCCTTGCTATCGTTTATTTTATAATTTGTTTCGTATAATTAGTATAAATATACCCATTTTATATTGTTCTAACTTAAAACTGAATGCATAGATTGGAAATAGCTGTAAAATTACGTGAACATCGTCCTTTGTTAAGATGGTTACAGTTCTACAAATTTTTACAGTTAAATAAAAGCTGATCTTAAATTTTAACCCCTCGATAAAAAAAGTTGGCGCTTTATTTTGTAACAGGTTGTAGAAATTGCATTTTAGACATTTTTTATGACTGCTAACTTAATATATTTTTATTCCAAGATAAATTCTTTTACCTAGCTTTTAAAGAAAATACTACTACATAGTTACAAATAGATACCGCGTTCTTCAGAAAACTAACGAGTCCATACATATTCATAGTACGTGTCTCTATGAAAGAATAGTTTAAATAATATTCTTGATAAACTGTTCACACTTCTACTAAACCAGTGAAAGTATATATGTCAGTTTATCGACATGGCAGTCGCAGCTGGCAGTGGTCAGTGAATTTGACTAGCTGTGTTTGAAGTTACGGAAAAGAACAGAAAAGAGGAAGAAGAAGAAACATTAAAGTAAAGAGAAATCTAGAAGGTGTTTCTAAGATAAAACTTACGACGCCTACGAATCATCTAGAAACCAAATTATTGGAACGTTATATAGCATGTATTGTTCAATTGTAATATCATTGAGATCAAACTCTATTAATGAATCATGCAATTTTAATACAAATCATTTTAAAATGTTATATTAAAGATATATTTCTCTGATCATCGTATATTAAAAACCTGTTCATATGTTTTTATTTTTCTGTTTTCGAGTCTTAAGTGTTGGACTAACGATAAGTATACGCGTTTCGAGAAGGAAGACTTAACGAAATCTGATCTTCACATGAGATGAAAGTTATCATCGAGGGTAGGTTTTGGCGACGAGCAACGAGCAACTTCGAACAGTGATGGATCGGTGTAGATCGGCTCGCTCGGGTCGAAGCCGGTTCTTCTGCTGGACGATAGTCCCACAGCACCCTCCAGAGCGGTCGATGACGAGGTCATGCGTTGACCGATCACGTTACTCATCGATCTGGAGATCGACCTGTATATCCAACAAATGGTACACCAACTTCAGGTAATAAATCCGAGAATAAATCAAGAGTCACGTTAAAAGCGTTAAAAGCATTAAGCCATTCGTCAAATATGACGTGCGTA